CCTTTTTTAAAAAGACCCTGGGTTGACGTGTTTGAAATGCTTACGTTTGAAATGCTGCCTTCTCAAGTCATCATTTTACATTATTTTATACCGATGTTGAAATACGCCACTTTATCCATACGAATTACTGAATGCAAATTACTGAATGCGAAGTCCTATACGCTATTTACCATGCATCCCATGGAGTGCGAATGTTTTTCCTGTTTTGCAACTCAAACATTTAAAAGTTTGTGTTTCAGTAAATAGTTAAAAGTTTTCGTTTTCTTAAAATTTGAAAAAATAAGCAGCCCTAAAATAGGGACCCGTCAGATTTCGCACAGGGGTTCCGAGTAGGGCCCCAACGTTTGACTGCTCCATTCATTTTTTTTAGATATGGCGATTTATGAGTTTTCTAAAAAGTTTCTAAAAACAGTTTCAAATAAATCTCAGTTTGAAGGTCTCATTTTTAGGTCGCGCTACTGGCAGAGTTTTTGAGGTTGTAAGTTTGGCTTTTAAATTTAACTGCTAAAGTCTTTTTGATTTCCGAGATTTGAGGATTTTTATACTTTCGAAAGTTTTCAAACAATTCATTGATGTTCGAAAATAGTCTATTGACTTTTATCAGTTACAGTTGGTTAAATCATTGATGGCATCAATTGATATACGCTCAAAATAATTAAAAATGAAATTAAGTAATTCTGTAGATAAGATATAAGATCATAGAGTAGAAAATCTTTAGAATTGGTTTTTTTTCGAAGCTGCTGTATATGCTCAGTCTATTTCAACGGTAGAATTAAATTTGTTGTTGTTTCGACCATTGAAAATGGTAAGGAACTTTGTATTTGAGTGTGTTTTAGTTTGTTCTTTTTGTTTTTAATACAAAATCAGGTACCTCAAGTAACCATCAGACTGGGTTGAGTGATATATCATATTGAAGCCCTTACTCTCGTGATTCGAACCACATATTTCGTGATTCGAAAATTTCAAAAAAAAATTTCACACATATTTAGCTTCTCTCAAATTTAGTAGCACTTTTTGCCCCTCAAAATTTGACACATTTCGTCCTCGCACGTTTCGCCCTTTACTTCTTAAACAATTAATTAATCGCCGCTTTCTTAATTGACGATTTGAGCGGCGAAATATGAATGGCGCGAAATGTGCCAATAATTTCGTGAGGGGAGAATCGTGTGAAAACCGGACCCCTTATTTCATAATCAGGATCCAGATTCTTTGTCGAGTAAGCATTTTTCGATTTTTATTTCATATATCTGAAGTAATTTCGACTTTTTATATCGACCTAGTCCTATTTTATTGTGTCGTGTGAAGAGCAAAAATAGGTTTTTTTGTGGTTAAATTTTTATGGCAAGTAAGTGGCTTTAGTTGCTCGAATTTAACGCTTAAGATTGTTTTTTGACAAGTTTTTCTGAAATTGAACTTCATTCGAGCCAAGCGCGTGAAGTTATCGTAGACGTATTGTTTGATTTGTTATCAAATATATATTTCGACTCCAATTGCCTCAGCCTAATTCTCTGTCGGCTAGCTTACCATGCTATGTTAATATTGCATCAAAAGCATTGCTAAGCATGGCGTCGCCTTTGTGTTAATTTTTTTTCATGGGAAAAATGGATATTTTGGATTAAATAATCACTCACAAGTATCGATCGTTGACTTGGACTAACAATTAGAAAAGTGTCAATGAATGTAAGAAACAGAAAAAATACCGACTTGTTTTTGAAAAAAAAATTACAAATTCGAGTTTCAAAGTAAAATAAATGGAATCAAAGCTCTTCGTATTTCAAGAACAATTTATGATTCTTACCAGGGGCGTGCTAGGATTTTTTAGAGGGGGATGGGGGCTAGCGGATTTTCAAAAAAATTGTAAAGACCGTGTTTTGACCAAAATTTCTGCGTCCTACGAACTTTTTTAAAACAAAAAGGCCACATTTTTGAAGAAAAAACACCTATTTCGACCAAAAAATAGCGTTTTAGGCGCTCGCTGAAATCTGCCTCTAATTGTCACTTTTTTGATGAAAAGAATCAAAAGTCAATTTTGCGTATTCCGCTGGGACTTCAAAATCCACCTTCGAATTTAGAGTTTTTCACGTTTTGTTGCGCCATTTTTCCTTCCTTTTAGCAAATAAACCGAATTTGTCTTAGGTTGATATGATTTAAAGCGAATTGATATGCTGGGTTGTTTTTCGAAAATGTTCAAGTCATAAACTAAGTTTTTTCTACATTCGGTTGCTAAATGGAAAGCACAAGAAGCAGAACAAAATAGTAAGAATGTAGATGACGCGGAAAAGTGACTTATTGCTTCAGAGGTGGATTTTAATTGATAGGCTTCTGAATTAAAAATAAAAGTTATCTTGTGATCCTCTTTTTTCATGCCAGGTCCTTTTGATTGAAAAATTTTCAATTTTAAAATATTTTTTAATTAAAAGCGCTTTAAGGTGATATTTTTTTCGTTGAAACTCAAACGTTGAAAATTGTTCAAGACAAAGAGAAACATTTTCCCTTTTCATGATAGTTTTAATGATATTATGGCCAACTGCTTGATCTTTTTGATCTTTTTAAATTAAGAGATGCCCATTAAATGTGTTAAGAAGAGTATATCTGTTCAGCTTCCCAATGTTCATAGGGTTTTGAAAACTACTTTTCAAATTTGTAAAGCGGATGAAAATGCAAAGTAAAAACGAGTCACTTTTTTCATTGTTACTTTTGTCACTTCTTTTTTAAGTTGAGAAATGGGACTAAAGTGAAATATGTTAGACCATTCGCACACGAGAGAAATGATCAACAAACGAGCTTTGTTTTTTTAGAAGCTGAGCTAAAGAGATTTAATTTCGAAGTGAAGTATAATACCTGTATGAGCCTCTGTCTCTCTCCTGACTACGTAGAGTGTTGTTGGCCTGCCGAGAAACGGACATATAGGCATCATTGTCTAATGAGTTGTCAACATCTTTGTCTAGATTTTCGACAATGTCGTATTCAAACTAGCTCTTCTCCTATGGTGAGCATGTGTTAATGAAAAAAGTGAATTTCCATTTATTCAGGTGTTTTTTTTTGTTTCGCTAATAGTTTTCAAAAAGTCTTAGACGTTGTTCTCGCTCAAATTTGAGTTTTCGTGGCTGGATTTCTTGTCTGTATCTAATTTTACATCGATAAGATAAATGATTGTTTTTATTGTGAAGTTCTGGGATTTTTTGTTCATGACTCTGGAAAAGCTATTTCAATGAGTGAAAAAACTACTGCGCTTTTAGGTCGCGCTACTGGCAGAGTTTTTGAGGTTGTAAGTTTGGCTTTTAAATTTAACTGCTAAAGTCTTTTTGATTTCCGAGATTTGAGGATTTTTATACTTTCGAAAGTTTTCAAACAATTCATTGATGTTCGAAAATAGTCTATTGACTTTTATCAGTTACAGTTGGTTAAATCATTGATGGCATCAATTGATATACGCTCAAAATAATTAAAAATGAAATTAAGTAATTCTGTAGATAAGATATAAGATCATAGAGTAGAAAATCTTTAGAATTGGTTTTTTTTCGAAGCTGCTGTATATGCTCAGTCTATTTCAACGGTAGAATTAAATTTGTTGTTGTTTCGACCATTGAAAATGGTAAGGAACTTTGTATTTGAGTGTGTTTTAGTTTGTTCTTTTTGTTTTTAATACAAAATCAGGTACCTCAAGTAACCATCAGACTGGGTTGAGTGATATATCATATTGAAGCCCTTACTCTCGTGATTCGAACCACATATTTCGTGATTCGAAAATTTCAAAAAAAATTTTCACACATATTTAGCTTCTCTCAAATTTAGTAGCACTTTTTGCCCCTCAAAATTTGACACATTTCGTCCTCGCACGTTTCGCCCTTTACTTCTTAAACAATTAATTAATCGCCGCTTTCTTAATTGACGATTTGAGCGGCGAAATATGAATGGCGCGAAATGTGCCAATAATTTCGTGAGGGGAGAATCGTGTGAAAACCGGACCCCTTATTTCATAATCAGGATCCAGATTCTTTGTCGAGTAAGCATTTTTCGATTTTTATTTCATATATCTGAAGTAATTTCGACTTTTTATATCGACCTAGTCCTATTTTATTGTGTCGTGTGAAGAGCAAAAATAGGTTTTTTTGTGGTTAAATTTTTATGGCAAGTAAGTGGCTTTAGTTGCTCGAATTTAACGCTTAAGATTGTTTTTTGACAAGTTTTTCTGAAATTGAACTTCATTCGAGCCAAGCGCGTGAAGTTATCGTAGACGTATTGTTTGATTTGTTATCAAATATATATTTCGACTCCAATTGCCTCAGCCTAATTCTCTGTCGGCTAGCTTACCATGCTATGTTAATATTGCATCAAAAGCATTGCTAAGCATGGCGTCGCCTTTGTGTTAATTTTTTTTCATGAGAAAAATGGATATTTTGGATTAAATAATCACTCACAAGTATCGATCGTTGACTTGGACTAACAATTAGAAAAGTGTCAATGAATGTAAGAAACAGAAAAAATACCGACTTGTTTTTGAAAAAAAAATTACAAATTCGAGTTTCAAAGTAAAATAAATGGAATCAAAGCTCTTCGTATTTCAAGAACAATTTATGATTCTTACCAGGGGCGTGCTAGGATTTTTTAGAGGGGGATGGGGGCTAGGGGATTTTCAAAAAAATTGTAAAGACCGTGTTTTGACCAAAATTTCTGCGTCCTACGAACTTTTTTAAAACAAAAAGGCCACATTTTTGAAGAAAAAACACCTATTTCGACCAAAAAATAGCGTTTTAGGCGCTCGCTGAAATCTGCCTCTAATTGGCACTTTTTTGATGAAAAGAATCAAAAGTCAATTTTGCGTATTCCGCTGGGACTTCAAAATCCACCTTCGAATTTAGAGTTTTTCACGTTTTGTTGCGCCATTTTTCCTTCCTTTTAGCAAATAAACCGAATTTGTCTTAGGTTGATATGATTTAAAGCGAATTGATATGCTGGGTTGTTTTTCGAAAATGTTCAAGTCATAAACTAAGTTTTTTCTACATTCGGTTGCTAAATGGAAAGCACAAGAAGCAGAACAAAATAGTAAGAATGTAGATGACGCGGAAAAGTGACTTATTGCTTCAGAGGTGGATTTTAATTGATAGGCTTCTGAATTAAAAATAAAAGTTATCTTGTGATCCTCTTTTTTCATGCCAGGTCCTTTTGATTAAAAAATTTTCAATTTTAAAATATTTTTTAATTAAAAGCGCTTTAAGGTGATATTTTTTTCGTTGAAACTCAAACGTTGAAAATTGTTCAAGACAAAGAGAAACATTTTCCCTTTTCATGATAGTTTTAATGATATTATGGCCAACTGCTTGATCTTTTTGATCTTTTTAAATTAAGAGATGCCTATTAAATGTGTTAAGAAGAGTATATCTGTTCAGCTTCCCAATGTTCATAGGGTTTTGAAAACTACTTTTCAAATTTGTAAAGCGGATGAAAATGCAAAGTAAAAACGAGTCACTTTTTTCATTGTTACTTTTGTCACTTCTTTTTTAAGTTGAGAAATGGGACTAAAGTGAAATATGTTAGACCATTCGCACACGAGAGAAATGATCAACAAACGAGCTTTGTTTTTTTAGAAGCTGAGATAAAGAGATTTAATTTCGAAGTGAAGTATAATACCTGTATGAGCCTCTGTCTCTCTCCTGACTACGTAGAGTGTTGTTGGCCTGCCGAGAAACGGACATATAGGCATCATTGTCTAATGAGTTGTCAACATCTTTGTCTAGATTTTCGACAATGTCGTATTCAAACTAGCTCTTCTCCTATGGTGAGCATGTGTTAATGAAAAAAGTGAATTTCCATTTATTCAGGTGTTTTTTTTGTTTCGCTAATAGTTTTCAAAAAGTCTTAGACGTTGTTCTCGCTCAAATTTGAGTTTTCGTGGCTGGATTTCTTGTCTGTATCTAATTTTAAATCGATAAGATAACTGATTGTTTTTATTGTGAAGTTCTGGGATTTTTTGTTCATGACTCTGGAAAAGCTATTTCAATGAGTGAAAAAACTACTGCGCTTGCAAGTTTTGATATTTAACGATGTTTTTTTCTACACACGATTGCATGTTGATCGCAAAGCCCTATAATTAACAATTTTGAGCTTGAATGCGTCATGTCGTTCCTTTTTCCCTCTTTTTTTCGTCATTTGAGGAGTCTGAATCTTTGATCTCCACTTGAGGGGTTGTGGGAGTGCGTTTTTTCTCTTCTTTGGTTCTGCTATTGTTGTTGTTGCTGTTGTTTCGAGGCTGCTCTGTGACCACCTTCTCTTTCCATGATTTTTGCCTGCAAATTATATGAGGACTTTTTTATCAAAGAATATAATGAACGAACCGCATACAACCTGCTCATACTTTATTACAAGGACAGTTGTGTGTCTGACGAAGACTTACTTTAACCATAAAAGAGCAATTTTGATGCTTGTTTTCTCGGCTGTGTGACGTTGCCTGGCCGTCAAGCAACGAGTAATGAGTACAGATCATATGATGGGACTCGAACCACCGACTGTCCGATCGATAAGCAGATACCTTAGTCATTTTTTCCTTTTCCCGTTGCCGTTCCCGATTGTTCCCGATTTTGTTAGATTTCAGATGCTTTTTCATACTTTTAAAAGAATTTCTCTCATTATTTTTTCTCTTTTTACGGATGTTCGATTTAGGAGTGACAAAATATTCATTCAAGTGCAAAAGAATTATTTTCAGTTTGATTAAAATGAAGTAGCAAAGTCATCGAGCAAATGCTTCGACTTTCTCTGTGGTCTTACTTCAGAAAAGTTTTAGAGTACTCAAGGTCACCTTTTGTCATTTTCTCTAAATTGCCTCTAACTTCTACAAGGTCAACGAGGTAGTAAATACTAAATAGCAGTGTAAAGCAAATGGTAGTGTAGCTTGATAGCGATAATATGGTTCTCAGTTAAAATTTAAATGCTCACAACTTTGCTAGCGGGTCATGGTTTATTTAAGCTCAGATAATTAACCTTTAGATTAGGCCTTCAGTCTTAAATAATTAAAAACCGGAAGCCTGTTTTCCTCACCCTTTGTCCATGTGTTTCTCGTATGGGTTTTGTGACTCAATTCTGCCCTCTTTGATACCCCTGGCTGTCTTAGTGTCCCTTTTGGGTAGACACAATCCACAGCAGAAGCAGAAACAGAAGTAGCAGCAGCAACAGAAACAACAGCCGGTCAGTAGAAATATCATCACTGTCGTGAATTTGTACCCTGCCGACCTAAATGCACGTAGGCTAACTTTTTTCTGCTACTAAAAATTAGATTGACGCGTTTTTCATTTAGATGATAATTAAATTTCATCCCAAGAAACTTCATCGATGATTTTGAAAAAGGTAGGTCGGAAAAAGGAACAACTTGTATTTTGTAACATTAGTAATAAAGTAGATTACGAGGACTATTCTCATGTGCGAAAATTCTAAACCAATCAACGCCCTTTGAATTGTCTGACTTATTTTAGCGCTTGCTTCTTTCGAATTTCTGAATACTGAGCTCTGATTGGCTGACAATTATTTCGCGTATTCGATCCTTTGTGCATTAGGGATCCCCCCTAGATTACCTTTTCGTGAGATACTTTTCCACTTTGTTGTATCCCACCAGTTGGCCAACGTGGATGCCCAAACTGCCGAATTTGTCGTAGACTTCTTTTTTCTTGGGGTCACTGAGTACTGCGTATGCTTCAGACACCTGAATAAATTAAACGAACGAAAGGTGTTTCTGCCAAATCACTTTTTGAGTTAATAATTATATGTCAAATAGTAAAGCAATTTCAGTGTCAGAAAATCGAATAAGGAGGGTTTGTTACAGTGATACAGCGATCCACTGTAAAAACTTCTTCTGCAAAGTAACGATTATGATTATGACATTTGTCATGTATTTCATAGTGCCAACAAAAAAGAGCGGTAACTATAGTTAAAATGACGTTGAAATATAACGCTGAAATGTTTGTGAGACTTTAGAGTTTGGCGTAACCCGGGTTGAGCTCACATTGAAAATTAGCGATAAAAAAGTGAAAAAAAAACAGCGATCGCCATCGATGAATTAACAATGTTCATCGCCACAATAGCAAAATTTATCGATGGATTGTCGCTAATTTAGCGCTGGAAAAATTATCAATTTTTTATCGATGAATTATTGCTTATTTATCATTTTTTTTTCGATAAATAAGCGCTAATTAATTTAGCTATGAAATAGCACGGAAAAATCCATGAAAATCTTACTAAGAATAGGTTAGCAATTTTTCATCGATAATTATAAGCCAAAAAGGCAAGTAAAAATCAGGTCGGAAACCAAATGAGTTTCGCTGGGCATTATAATCTCTACTAGCCTGAACAAACTTGACTTTGCGCTCTTCGTCATCGGGATGTTTGTCCGGGTGGTTTTCATCTGTCAATCTAGAACAAAATAGGGGGTTATTCTCATGACCCAATGCTCGAACATTTTTAACGAATCAAGATCTTTGAAAATGTCCAAACCTGAATGTCCCTGAGTATGTAGAATGACTTTTTTTTTATTTTAAGATGAGCAAGGGTATTGCAATCGGGTACTAGCGAGGGAGTAGATGTTAAAATCAGAAAACTATCCATGAAAATAAGTTTTCGAAGCTTCATTTAGCGCTTCCTTTGCAATAGTCTTTCAAAAATTCAAAAAAAAAATCTTCCGAAAAATTGGATTTTTTGTTATTCCTTTCTTTGCCGTTCTCGCAAAAAATGTGGTCGGAACTTTTTTTGAATGTGGTCGGAACTTTTGGTACTGATTGCACAGCAACCGGCTACTCTTTTTTGCTTGATTTTTGTGCTTGATGGGTTTGGATAATCTTATTTCGACTTTTTTGCCTCATATTGCGTCATTTGAAGAGCGATAATAGTTTTCGATTCGTGTTTGCTTGTTGGGAAGCATATGCGAAAGTTGCAAGAAGTGTTAATGCAAATATTTCTTGTTTCAGCGGGCTTATACCCAATTTTTGTCGAGTTATTAACCGATAAGTTTTATTTCAACGCTTATCTTCTGCTGACAAATTTTTTTCGTCATATTTTTTCTCAAACGGAACTTCATTCGAGAGTAACATCTGAAGTTTTGGTAGCACCGTAGTTTTCGATTTTTTCCCGATTATTTTTCTTTGGCTGTTGTCAATTTTTATGTGGACTTGCGTGCCACGCTTTTTAACCCGTATCGCTAGTTGTGCGTGCGAAGCTCCACTTTTCCTCTCTCCTGAATTTTTTAAATGAAATGGGCTCCAAAATGAATCTACCTCTTGTACTGTTTGACAATGTCCTTCTCCGTGCAGTGGTCCTTCTCCAGGTCCAGTCTCTCGTAGAGGGTGAAGCCCTGTCTGGTGAATGCACGGGGCACAGTGCCCTTCCTGCATCTGCAGTGCTGAGGGGCCATTCTTTTCCCACTCTTCTCTCACGGTACTCGAGGTCTGTGAACACATTAAAGAGTTAAGAAACAGAATTGATCATGATAATAATAATAACAATGGTGGTTTCTGCGACTCGCAGAGATTCTTTGAAAGGCTATCCAGCCTGTCCAAGCCGTTTCTCTTATTTCAGCCTATGCTACACTGAGCTATTTTGCTGAGCGAAGCTCTGTTTTGGCTACTCAAGGCAGTTTTTTTGTGTCTAGAATTTTTACGTGGTACTACTATTGCAGCCGAAATTGGTCAGGCCATGGTAGACTTGAAGCTAGAGGTCACACACTTAAACTTGCCATGGCAGGCGATCGAATACACGATCTAACGATATCGAAGCGAACGCCTTACCACTATGCTAAATCCCTGTAAATGGCACTACTTGTCTATATATAAGCATTATTAACAAAAAAAAACAAATCCGAGAGCGGTATTAAAAGTACTGCGCTAGATCCACAAAAGATTTAAAAGCAATTTATTGTCACTTATGAGGATAGGAACATTCAGAGCTGACGGAGAAAATGGCGCCAGACATCAAAAGCCGGTTTTGTTCCAGTGCCGAGAAACGCAAGCTTTTTAATGAGTTGAATATGTTTTGAAAGCTTTTTGGCTACGATATATCAGGTGAATCGAATTCAATAATTGATACTGTTAGCTTTAAGAAAACTACCTCCATATGTCTTTCCACAATATAACTAATTTGGAGAAGATGATTCACATCCTACTAAAAATAAAGCCTCTAAGAATTAACGCCAAAAAAAATCTACTTCAAATGTATCTTTTTTACGGGTTCTATCAGAGCAATGCACTTAACCATTGAAGATGGAAATCAAAATGTTTTTCTAGGCAATGGATAATTTTTTCTTACCTTTTCTGTTCCAAAGTTCTAATTTTTTTTCTGCAAATAATTTTTCTAAGGATATTTTTAAAATATTTTTTTACTAACTTGCAATGACAAAAAGATTCTGGAATACAACGCGTCAAAACTTTATTGTTCTATGTTTTTGTAACATCAAGTCAGTGAAAATTAAAGGCGCGTAACGATCAGCTTATATTTTAAGTCAATCTGTTTCCGACTCAGTTTAATGTTTTCTAATGAAATGTGTTGGTTGGATGTTATGTCTCAATGACTTGCGACGTTCCGATTTTATTATACAGAAAAAAAAAATTGAAATAGGCGGAAGCTAGGACTTACTTTAAGCTGAATAAGTTTAGTTTATTTTTCGGCACGTCGAAGTTTCTCTGATTTTGAAAATGAAATTGGAGAGTGGACAAATAAGCGAGGGCTCATAACTTCTTCGGTAAACTGGTCTATTTTTACAACGCAAATGATTGATTTTAAGGCTTAGCAGTTTTCTTTTGAGGAATTGCGTAGATTTTCGGGAAACTTAAAGCTTTTTTTCCTAAACGTAACCTTATTTTTCACATGAGAGCTTCTTTTTGCCGTTTTTTGTCAAGTGCAGCTATGGCTCTGTGTTTACCCTTGCAATAAGCAAAAGTTTTGCAACCGATTACTAGACATTGTCCCATGAATACTTGAGCTCACTGGAAGGGGATAAGGAGAAATAGCAAAATTACTAAGGTGCTCTATGTAGGGATGCTGTTTACTGGATGCTTTGTAAAGGAGGTATACTTGTTACGGTAAGCGTTATTACAAGGTGATATTTTTTTTGCTAATTGGTTGGTAGATTTACATATCTTTGGAGGTCTCTAACTGTGTCGGCTTTTTCTTGCCTTTTTAAACATGTTAGGTGATAACATCTGAAGTTGAATTAGCTCTTTTTTGAAATTTGCCAAAGATCAAAATCTACCTCACAGGTCCGTTGATAAAACGAAATTTAGTGTTCTGACTTTTTCAGCTCCTTCATTAAGAGCTTAATGTTAGTGAAAACCCATTTTTTACTTGTTGAGTGGTCAGTCGTTTTTATCATATTTATCTTGCAGGTAATTGAGTTCATAAGTTTTTGCGCTTCTTTCATAAAATTTTCGATTAATTTTGATTGAGGTTGATTTTTCATTTACCTTTTTTCATCAATTTTGCTTTGGTCACAATAATTTTGTTTTGACGTACATTTTTTATTGAATTAGATAAGTGTTGTGCATTCTTTGCTTTTTTCAATGGCTTCCGTTCAACTGAAATTTTCTACAAATGGTTTCTACAAATGGTTTTTTGCGTTCTACAAATGGTTTTTTGTATTCTGAGCAATTTAATGCATTGCAGGAATGCTTAAAACTTTGAGTGAAGTATAACTCACCTCACTGCATGATTAATGGTTTCGGGTATCTCTCGCTGATGTGATAAAAATGCAATATGCGAAAATATTCTTGATTTTCTCATTTAATAAATATAATTAATACATCTCAAATTGTGCTAGGATCTGCTTTGCCTCTGTGCTTAAGATAGCAAGGTAAAGAGTACCTGTGTAAGGGTAAAGCATTTTGTCCTGTAAACAACTTTGTTCACAGGACTCATCTGCACTCATTCCCTGTGTGTTTCTGGGCGTGTTTCCCGCAAATATAACACTATTTCAGAAAACACTTGAGACAAATGTTTTAGTCATATGTTTTTCGAAATGTTTTTTTTTGGACTTAGTAGTCTTCCTTTCCAGTCTGTATCAGCGACCACTCCCTTTTTTCGACAAAAGACGTTATCGTCCTCGGAATAGTCATTTTAAAATTTTTTTGAGCGTTTTTCCCTAATTTTTTTTGAACTTTACCGAAAAATACCTCCCACATCTGAGATTTTGGGTTCAATCGAAAAATCCGGTTGAGAGAAGTTTCTTAATTTTCTCGAGAACTACCGTACCAAACCTGGGCTGCTGGGTTCAAGGAAATTTCTTCTGCATAAGCGGCTACGCCCAATATCTTAAAAGAAAAAGCTATGAATCTTGGAAATGCCAATTTTCTGATGTTTTGACCGTTTTTGGACTTTTCTCGATAACTAACCTGCCAAATCTTATATCACTGGTTTAATTGACACAACTGGTTATTGGAAGCTTAACAATTTTTATTTGCTACGCACAATTTCTTTTAGAAACCATTTATGGCCTTCACTTAAGTGAAAATTCGACCGTTTTCGAATTTTTTTACTCTACTCGTAAATTACCGTGCCAATTCACAGATTAAGTTTTCAATCGAGAAACACGATTTTGGGAATTGTTTCTATTTTAACGATCACGACTTGCTTTTAGCAGAAAAAGTTACGGATTTTGTAAAGTCAAGTTGCTGAGCTTTGACCGTTTTTAGAAATTTTTTGAAAGAAGTTGCGCCAATTTTTTCTGCAGAAGAGTTTTCACTCCTTAACATTTTGTAAGAGAAAGGTTGTCGTTGGAAAATTCCAGAATCACAAAACTTTCAGTCTTCTTACTTATTTTGTTAGAGAAACAACTAAGGTTTTGGGCAAAGCCGCTGAAAACACAAGTTTTTGTCCCGCATCAGAATAACAAATTCAAAAAATATCTTTAGTTGGGTCCCAGCTTTAGTTGGGTCCTAGGTTCAAGGTATTATGACTTTTGCTTTTTTATGATTGTGTTGTATCGCAAGTAGTGCGAAGCTCCGCTTTGCCTCTGTATAAATGATACTGTCCGGAGAGGTTTTTTCGTTCGGCTTTTCTTAGAGCTCAACAAATTGATTTTTGAGTAATCTCTGTTTTTTTTGTTTCGTGTATTAAGTTTTTAAGAGTTCTTATATCAATTATGGCTTCTGTAGGCGAACAGAATGATTAAAATAAACGATTTTAGCCGAATATTTTTTTCTTGGAGATGAAATTTTGACAAGAACCATGGGCATTTAAAAGCTAAGTGTAAAGAGGTTGTTTCGTGTTTTTTTACGAGTTCAGTTTTTATTAATGTAGGCGTACAATTGAGTAATAATTATTCAATTTTCTTTAAAATCTGATAAAAAAGATATCCTGCTTTCTAAGTTAAAAAGATTTTGCTATTTGATCATTTTACCTAAAGTTATGGCGTGTTTTCACTTGCAAGAGCGAGTTCACTTGTAATGGGAAATTAGTTTTTTCTTCCATTTGCTCATAAAAGAAATTTTGTTAAAAAACTTACCGTGCGTTTATATGATATTTCGCGGTTTTTCTAATTTTGAGAAACCCTCCGGTTTGACCTAGTGGCATAGCTTGTGCCTTGATATCTTAAGTTCTGGGGTTTGAGTCCTGTCCAGAACGTGTTTTTTTTTCTCAATATTATTAAGAAAAGATTTTCAGAGTAAATTTGATTGTTGTACTATCGTTTGTCCGCTTAGTTTTGGTCGGTTATCATTCCATTGCGTGGAATTTTTTTCTACTTTAAGTTTTTTTAACCGAAATTGCTAGTCGTTCTATGATTCTTAAATTCACCAGCTCTGCTTATTAATAAAGTATCTTTTTTGTTTTATGCTTAAATGGTTTTGGCTCAATATGTATCGGCTTGTGTTTCAAGAGATTTGATGCGTGAAAACTTTTGTTTTCGATTCAACAGGCTTCTACTCAACTATTGTTGCCTTTCTTGCCAATTAGTAAATGAGACCTTATGCTTATTCAACGCTGGTGATTGTTTTTCGTGACATGTTTGTCTCAAATTGAATATCATGAATGTTTTGAGGATGTCGTTTTTCGATGTTGTGTATACAGATTGCAATGTTATGCTTGTGTTATTGTCAAAGTGCGCCATTGACCAATTTTTGTTAACCCGTAGCATTAGGCTTTTTGATGTATAAACTTGTTGTCTCTGAAATTCTTACGCTTTGATAAACATGCTGTTTATAGGTTGTTTTGTGGTCTGATACACTGCGTTCTACAATGATTGTATAGAAAAATTTGATTTTTTGACTGCTTCTTAGCTTTGGTCGCGATGTCTTTTGGGCTAGCTGCGTATGTTTTTCTTTAACTCAGTATAATGGTTTGTTTTGTTTTCCAAGACACACTTCGTTTTTTTTGAATGGCTTAAGCTCAAATATCAAATGATTAAAAATGAGGCGATGAAAATTTTTCTGAAAAAAAAAACATTTTTTGCTCAGGGTTTTCGACTAACTTCTATAAACGTATTTTCCACGTGCTTTCTGCTGACTTTTTCGAAAATTGGAGTGACAAAAATGAAGTGATGACAATTGATTAGTATTCAACAAATGAGATATTTGGAACTACAGGTTTTTTGTTTTCTATCACTAAGAAATGTTTAATGTCTTTCTTGTATTTGTTTTTCTGTGGTTGTGAAACTAGTTTTGCTTTAGTGGAGACTTTACGCTTGATTTTTTTTGTTGTGTAGTTTTCATTTTTTTTACGGTTTTTTGGCTATGGAAGTGTAAGGGGTTTCAAGTTGTCGCAATAGTTTTGGCAATTTACCAATTGCAAGCAAGCAAAAAAAGTTTTATGCCCGCAAAATTCGCCGAAACTAGCTAATATGCTTCTAAAGCAGGGACAAGGCGGTTTTTAGCTAAAAGTTTAGCATGTATTCGACTTTTTCCTTGTTGCTTTTCCTTTCAGCTTTTCCGTCTTAAGCTTAACTAATTTTGTTTTTCTTCTTTGTATAAGTAGTTCATCAAGTAAATTTGCGAAGAATTGATAATTTATTTCTTCTGCAACTTCCTACGCACTCTACGTCATTGCCTTAGTTGCCTTATTTAACATTGTGATATAGCAAATAGACTGGCATTTTGGATTATTTTTTGTTTCGCAAGTTATCAGTAGCTCAGTTTCACTTCTCTTTTTCAAATTGAAATCTGACCAGCTTTTCAGTCGTATTATTGCATTTCTAGACGAGAACCATATTTCTGTAGCTTAGCGTATGCGTGGGATTAAGCGCCGGCCCTAAAAAATGAGGGGAAAATCTAAATTATTGTATTTGTTGAAGTTTTTCCTTAATTTTGATAAAGTTTTTTCTAGATTTTTTGTAATTCAAATTACCATCAGACAAGAAAAGATCATGAGATATTTTGTGTTCTGACTTTCGTAACAAAAGTAAAGAAATATTTGTGCTCGTGGTGATTTTCTTTCTTCAGACAAATTTCGACTATTTAACTAGCCATTTTTGACGGATTTGTTATCGATCATTCGAAAATTTATGTTGTCTTGAATTTAAATTTGAAAAGATGTTTCACCTGTGATCATTTTTCGTGAAGTTATGGGGGTTCAAAGAAAAGATTGTCATTTTGGCCAATTTGGGGCAATAAACGCGCGATATATTTATTCTCTCAAAAAAATCTCAAATAAAAAAATTCAATTTTTTTTTTAATTTTAATGTTCCATGTTATTACTGCATAGTCCTTATAAGGCAGTCGAAACATTCAGGTCTTCGCCCTGATACGAGCAGTATTTTTGGTTTTCAATTTGGTATAATTTTTCATGTGTTTGATGGCATGTGCTTTGAAAAATTTAGCCTTTTTTTACAGCTTGCAATCAGCATGTTATGTTCTATAAACTCGCAATGTAAACATTTTTCAGATTGGCAAATAGTTTTCAAGAACATCACTTGAATCACTACACAGATTGATTTTCTTTAAACTCCAATTTTTTTGGTTTAGCCGGCACACTGTACTAGAGCTACTAACTACGTCTTGGAAGGCAAAGTTCCTTGGTTCGAATCAGGACAGGATCTGTCGTGTCGTTTTTTTCAGACTGAAACATTCCTTTTCAAAAAAATTTTCAATTCCTTTTCGTTTTTGTTTCACTAAAGCTTCATTAGTCGTTCTAAACGGTTTTGATTTTTGTTTTATCCATTAAATGATCTGTTTTTGTGTGGTTTCAAGGGAAAAGTTAAGTTAACGTCCCGTGCTGAAGCGAAAACCCAGATGTAAAAATTTTAGAATTTCTTAACTTTATAGCTCAAATCTTTTCATGGCAACAATTTGGTTTTTGGCTCAACGGTAGTTCAAAAGTCACGCCAGTGTTTTTGGCTTAGTTACCGCTCAATGAACATTTCTGAATACATATTTTGTGTTTTCTCAAATTCAAAATGCCGAAATTTTGTGTTTTCCTGAAATTGAAAAGCATTCGAGACAAAGTAATGTAACTTTTGCAATTTTTTTTCAATTTTGTTTTTGAATTTTCGTCAACTTTTGTTTTGTTTTGTCTATTATTTTTTGTTTCATCAGTATTTTTTTTTAAGTTTAAAAGTTTAAAAATTTTAAAAATCAGTTTAAAAAATTAAAAGAGTGGACTTGCGACAAAGCTATCGACAGTCTTTGAGCTATGGCTTAAATGCTGCCGATTGCTTTTGTCGAGTGTTTCATTAACGTTAAGTTTCAGATATGACACAATTCATTAATTTTAAGTTTCAGCTATGGCACTTAGCTGAAAGCTGATTAAAGTTTACCTGCCTGTTTTGTTCCGCTTCCAGCTTCAACCTTCAGCTTCAACAAAGTAACAAAGTTTAATGACCTTAGTTTCAGAAGCAGGTCAATGTGTAACTTGGTTAAGTGTCTTCGTTCTGTTTCAATATTACGTGTGTGAGATGTGTACGTGTTGTGAGGAAGTCATTCTTGGTCAACTATCAGGTCACTCGCTCACTTCGAAGTCCAGCTATGCATTAAAACAGAGTTCTTGATTTTTTTTATGAACCACGTTTAAGAAGCGATGCCAGCAAAAGAAATATCATATTGTGCACTAGTGTTTCAACAAAAGCATACTTTGACCTACTAGTGCATGCATTGAAGAAAATTTTGAAATGATTGCTTTGAAACTGAAGCTATGTTGTGAATAACATCAACCTCGCTATCGCTTCATAAAATCGTAATATTGTGCTCGAAACTGAAGTAGTAGTATTCAACTTTTCCGAACTGGGCACTAAATTTTATTTGAAAATATTGATGCCCGACTGCAATGCAAATGCTTTTTTTTACTTGACGCAATCATCTGTTACGCTCGTTAAAAAAATTTCTGAAAAAGTTGCTTTTTGAAGTGTTGCTTGTCGTTGAATATTGCATATTACAAACAACTTAATACACGCTCATTTACTCAATCAACTTATCATTCATTTGTAGCCCAACGACCATTTTTCGTGCTATGAAGAAACTGGTTTCAGTTACTTTGTAGTAGTTAGAACATAGTTGAAAGATACTCGAGGGAAAAGAGCCCGGCCTGAGGGCAAGAAGTGCCCGATGGCGGCGCTTTTTCCCGGGGCCATCTTCAGCTATGTTCTAACTGTTGAAGAGTATGTTTTTGCTCTTTCTGAGGGAAAGATGCCGGAAAATTGTGAAAGAGCCCGGAAAAGTGCGCGAAACTATGCAAATGATTTCTTTTTTCATTTATGCGTTCTAATAATTCATTTTTCATTCATGCCTTGCCGTGAAAGATTGTGTGAAAGAGCAAAAACATACTCTTCTTTAAGCTTCAGTTCATTGAACTGTTTAGGTGCTTGTTTTAGATGAAATGGCAAAATCGTTACTCTAGGCGCATTTGAAGATGAGTTAGCAAAATTAATGTCGCAAACATGATGTTTCCAACTTTTTTAATTAGCAATTGAACTAAATGGCCTTGTTTTTGTATTGATTTACTAACCAATTTCTAATTGGAATTTTTGCCCTTTTTGTTTTCATTATGTTTAAAGTAGATTAATCGTAACTCCTTCACAAGGGTTTATAACAGTTGGAGATAGGACTTGGAGGTGCAGTGCTTACAACAATGACTAACAACCAAAACCCCCGTTTTACAAAATCTTACATTCCCCCGCGCAGCAGTTGCCCGAAGAATATACATCTTATTTTGCTCAACTGCTCGTGGAAAACAATGCAAATGGCATGGAAGATGCAGTAGCTTACTCACCTTGATGGAGCTAAAATAATCCGGAAAACATTAGATATGCTAATCTAGGAGATGAAAATGATTCAATCGTTTTCATTTACCATTAACCGATCGTTGGGGTTTTCTTCCACTTGATGGGCCAGCGTATTAAAGATAAACTATTTTCAATGAAAGATAGTCGGTTGGTGTGCAAAGAGCACTCTATGTTTCGAAACAGAATTATTGAAAAATTAGAATAAAAATTTAAAACTGAAAAGTAAAAATAGTTTATGTCCGATCTTGGTCAGAGATTGAACTCCAATTATTGTTCTTCTTCAAAACTAACTGTTTGCTTTCGTCAAAATAGATATTAATTCTTGAATGTTTAAGCCCAATTCAATCGTTTTTTTTAGAAAAATTTTTTTTTTGCCTTTTATTATTATTTTTTTTCGAACTTCAATGAGCGTTTGTGTAATAATGTCCATTTTTATTGGTGCCGCTTTTGCTGGATCGTATTGGCCTTTTATTAGCTGCTTTATTTGTGACTAGTTTGCCGATTGTTAAGCGTTCGTGGCGGACAGGGCAGGGCGTGAGACTCCATATATCGAGGTCGCAGTTTCGAAGCTAATACATAGCAATTTCACTAATTCGAAGCTTAATTCTATTTTTTCTTATTTGGCTTTATAAAGCTACTTTTTTGTCGTGCTCTCGCTAGTGTTTGCGAAGCGCCGCTTCGCCTTTGTGTAAATCAGTGTGCTGAGAACATTCTAAGCTACCTGCACTGCAACAGGTCATAGTCCATTTTCCAAAACCCTCTTCTCCGATAGAGATCCTTAAAAGGAATGATAAAATATTTGTAGTTATCACAATTGGTCCTACCATTATCATAAGTTTTGGGCTGGTCTTTTCATTGTTATGTTAAATGTTGTTTTAACGTCATTTATACCAATCTGCCTGATTCTTCTTTATGATTGTTACGACTGGCTGTTGTTTGTTTGGATGAAGAACTCTTAATTATTACCATCATACTTTGGATCAGCTCATGATTTAGACAGAAGAAAAAGAATTTGGTATAGAAAATTGAAGTTAAAGTCAGTTGAGCTAAAAATACAAGCCACACTTATAGCTTTATGCATGCACGCGTTTTCACCTGTCCAATTAGTTAATTTAGCTCAAAAACGTCTCGCTTAATTAGGTCGAATACCTTTGATATTTTCTACGCTTTTGTTTAACAATCACAACAACAGCTAGCCCACAAGCTAAACTCACTTTTTAAACTTCAGCTTTTTTGGTAGTAATAAGATTTTGCAGTTTTGATTTTCATTTTGAATCACAAGCCATCTGTGATTTTGAAGAAAAATAACATTATCATGTGGTGTGCGTTTTTCAATCGTTTTTCTTAATTGTCGCTTATGATGATGTAATAATGCATTATATGCTTACGCCGCTGTGGTACATTTAAACATTAATCATAAAAAGTTCCTCACTTTCTTACCATTTATAGACAGTTAATACCACTTGTTTGAACTGTAAGAAAAAACTGTACCTCGGCCATTGATAAATAACTACTTTTGAAGTAATTCTGACGCACACCATTAAACTATAAATAATGGATTCCACTTGTAGACAAATCAATTGCACTTGAAAAATTTCAAAAATTTCATTTTTTACCCATTCTTGAAAAATTGTTACCTCAATTTAAATACACGCGCATATATTTTTGCTACCAGCTACAAAGTTGCTACTTCTGTAAAGAATTTTTGTGCCATTTACGATCATAAGTTGTCGGCCAAATCAATCAATAAAAACACTCCAATTTACTTATTTAACTGTCTTTTCGTTATTCACGCTTCATTGTCGCGTTTTTATTTCTTATCTCATACCAGATTAAACCTTGTTTCAATTTTACTCGAAGAAAGTGACACGCCGAATCTGTGGTAGTTTTTTTGACGTGTTGTTTTTAGTTTAATTGAATATTGCCTTTACATAATTTTTGAAATAGTATGTTATTTTAAGATCTTACGTATTGCAATTAAAAGGTAATCGGATAAAAAAGTTCGTTTCATAGCTTAAAATGGTATCTTACTTCAACTGAAATGTTGACAAACGATTTGAATTAGTTTAAAATAAATAACACGCAGGCAAAATTCTATAAAACTTAGGTCAAGTATAAGAACGACACAGCTAAAAAAAATTATTTTAATCAGCTGCCATCTATGGCCATTGTCCTATCAAAATTTCCGATGATCAATTGTCATACGGAACAATTGGAATACATCTGACTCGGCATCCCGTTCAATTAGCCGACAAAGAGCAATGGACAATCGTAAGATGTCCTATGTGGACGTCGGAACCCTGGGAGTGACAGTCGAGGAGTTGCACGAGATCCTTGATGTCATCAGAAGAGACTACATCCTTAACAAACAGGATTGGGAGAGAAATCGGTCAGTAAAGTACCCTTTATTTATTTTTTTAAAAGAGCTTCTTTTTTTGATTGAAAGTTATTATTTTCTTTTGCTGGAAATAATTTTAAGCAATCAGATTAGAGCCGTTTGATCTATTTTTCAAAATAAAAGAAAGATCAGTTTTGGGCCCTAAAACAGAAAAGAACCACTTAGTGGTTCAGTACCGTGTCAGAAAATTTTGAAGAACGATTTTGAAGAACAATGTTTAGATAATATAGGCGATAGCAGACTAAAACTTAAGATTGCGAAGCAAAAACAAAATCTTTTTTCTGACAAATTTTGTTTCGACCACTGCCCCACTGGTCTTTTGGAAGGAAAGGGAACTATGGACCAAGATGAGTTATTTTTCTAACAAATTTTGGCGCTTACAACTACTTTTGTTGTGATTCTGCGTATTTTTTTTTAAAAGCCAAGAATTTTTGAAGCCACTTGAGTCGTCATTTGACGATTTTGAAAAATTCGTTGTCGAAAAACGGACTGGGTTTTTCCTCCTCAGTCAAATTTACCTGCGGCACTAAATGGAAGAGTCAAGACTACTTTACTAGGTTTTATGATTATTCATGCGCTTAGCAAGTGGTATCAAATGGGAATATTAAAGCCTTTTGTAGTTCAAGATCTTTGAACATATCACTTCAATAATTTGATAGCTTGGTACATAATTAACTCAAATTTCTTGGCTTCTCTGGCATAAAGTTAAGTACGAAACCTGGGAACATTATAGTTTCGCTTCCGGTCAGAATATTTTTAAACTGAAAAATTCACTATGATTCAAGAAATTCAAGAATATTTTGTTTGTCTTGTTGTTCCGACCATTTGAAAAATGTGGAGGAATTTTATATTCGGATGTGCTTTAATTTTTTTCCACGCATAATCAGGTGCCACAAAGAATCATCGGAATAATTTAAATTTTATATCTTATCAAAGCTTGTCCAGTCGTGGTTCGAAAGACATTAAAAGTTCTGAAAGACACTTAAAGCAGTGTCGAGAAAAATCGGTTTGATATTTTTGATTTTTGGTCTAATTTTTAGCTAATAAGGTATGTCAACATAAGGTTTGCAGGCTTAGAGTAGCTTATTTAAGATTAATTCAAAGAGGAAAAACTTAGTTTTGCTCGAATAAAATTAGTTTAGGATTTTTTAGCGCCATTTTGAGAATTAAAATTTCAAACAAAAGATTTTGCAAAAAAATAGAATAAGTTTATAAAGTTAAAAACAATTTTTTCACAATTTCTTTTTCGCTTTTCTGGTCTTACAACAACTTTTTTTCAAATGGTCTATTTGACTATGAGTGTCAAATTTGCCAAATTTTTGTTTTTTCATTCAGAGCTTTTTATCACACCACACAGAAAAAAAACGACATAAATTTGGAAAAAAAATGTTTTTTTCTAAGACCGTTGTCGGAGCATTCTGTGATGTTTGCACATCAGCTGGCTATCCTTGTTATATTTTGTCCAAGAGTGGATCTAGGATTTTCTCGAGGGGATGATTTTCAAAAAAATTTCGAAAGTTTTGTCGACCTTTTTTGAGGTCGATCAAAGTGAATTTCCGAGTTCTCCCAAAGCACTAGAAAGACCCTGTTTTGGTCAAATTTTCTACGCCACAGGTAAAATTTTGAAAAACAGGCCAAAAAAAGGAAAAATTAGAAAATCCAAGTATGGATATCTCAAAATAGTGCAAAGAGGAACCCTTTGGGTCGGCAGGGGGTCGAATCTCTTAGGGGGGGGGGCATCCCCCCTAAATCCGCCTCTGATTTTGTCGGCTGAGCTACCACCTCCCAGAATTTTTATGTTCCTTATTTCACTTTACAGTTTTAATCAGCCTTAATGCTTTCGGCTTTGTGATGTATGTTTGTGTCTTTTGAAAACAGCACAATTTTACGCCCTGTAAGCCTGTTAAAGGATAACATTTTTAGAATTTCAGATTTTTGGAGCTCAAAATTTTTGGTAACAAAAATTTTGATTTCGGCTCAACGGAAGTTTACGCATGTTACGTTGGCTTAACTGTGGTTTGCTAAATCTTCCTGAATACTTAGTTCAAGCCGGAGATTCTATTGCTGGACGTATTATTGTCAAATTATCAAATAAAATTATGAAATTTTTGTAATTGTTTGTTTTTCGACTTTTTAAATTGTTTTCTACTCAATTGACTTCGTTTCATTGTTTGTCTAACGGCTTGCAGCGCTATGTTTGTGGTATTCGCTTTGCCTCTAGATTAAAATGTGTGACGTTTTCATTATATAAAATTTCATAAATTGTTTGGATGTTATAGTGCAACTGATTTTCGCTTCCGAAGATTTTATTTTCAAAAAAACTTTAAGTGTTAAAAATATTTAGTGGCCTCATTCTAGTACATTTTGTGAAACTGGGTGCTCTTGTTACGCGTTCCAGCCCCCTGTTCTCTCCGGAGGAGGAGGACGCACGTGTTGCTGCCATTCTGGACCACGACCCAGACTTCAACCGGAAGCACTGCATCATCTGCTGCCTACAGTTCTCCATCCTCCCCTTCTTCTCAGACCAGAGGAGTGTGAAGTGTGACGCGTGTAAATTCCTGGTGTGTCACTCCTGTTTTGTCCATCAGACGGCAACAAATGCAGACTACAGAAATATGTGCAGACATTGTGCAGAGAAAAGGTACTTTAATTGGACAACTGCGTCACAAAGTTCCGATTACAACTTAATCTTTTTCCCTGAATTTACAAAAAATGGCAAAAATTTGAAAATAAACATATGAAGATGTTATTTTGCTACATATCTAATGATACCGTGAACATATGTGCGTATTTTGCGAATTTGCGAATTTTGACAATGTGTCCCAAAATATCAGGTGGCTATGATAAAAAACGCGATTTTTGTTCAAAGAGCAGTGAAAAGTTTCTAAAAAGCTATTTTGTGCGAAATGTGGCTGTGAGGAAATCATATTATTTCAATAAGTTGCTCGGAGAGCTGAACCACTAAATCTATCGGCCATGAAAGTGAAAATAATTATTATTTCTCCGTCCAGGATAATATCGTCGACATTCTTAATTTTTCCTGAGCAAAAATTAGAGGTGAGCGGTTCACTCAACAAAAGTTTAGGTTCGGTTCGGTTTTTGCTAATTTTTGTTCGGTTTGGTCCATTTTTTTAAAGCAAATTTAAGAGCAAAAGAATGAATTGCTTAGAACAGAATACAGAAAATTACAAATTTTCATGTAGAAACAAGTTTACAAAAACTTTCGGTCGAAAGGCTCTCTGGTCGTATCATCATTTTATTTCCTCCAATGCTCCAGACTCGCTCATTTGTAGTTGCTGCCCCAGCAAAACCCAGAAAACTTCTTGCGACCTCCCCAATTTTGGCGGATATTGTCGGGCTTTACCATAAAATTTGTTCCTGGTTTCAATATTTATGTCATAACCCTTGCGATAGGCAAGGGTTTTGCAATCGGGTTCTAGACTTTTTTTCCGTAAATAACTTTGTTCACAGAACGGTCAATATTAGAAATGGTAAACTTTCTTTGCGTCTCCAGTGCACTTGGTCTGGAGGTAACAAATACGCCTGTGACGCCAAAGTTCCTGGGTTCGAATCTGACAGGACCTGTTTTATTTTTCAAACAGTAAATATTCCGTTTCAAAAAAAATTGTCGGCCTATTGTTTGTCTGCTTATGTTTTGTCGGCTTAGTTGCCACATTGTACATTTGTTTTTTTTGTTATACGCACGTTACATTGTGCTTTAGTATTTTGATTTTTGTCGGCTGTTTGTAATTTTACTAAGCTGGAATGGACTGATATTTTATATTTCTTTTGACGTATATCTATATGTTTTTTTATCGCTCAAAATTTTGTTCTGCCCTTATGATTTTGGTTTAAATCCTTTTGGTTAGTGTCCTAATTTTGAGTTGCTTTAATGGAAACGTAATTTCTCTGATCTTCTCTAGATTGTGCAAAATGTCAAAAAAATCTTATTAGAATTTATAGAATTTCATTGCAACTTTTTTTTCGTTTTTTCGCTTGATAGGTATGGGCTGATACTAAATCGGCTTAATGGACTAGCTTTGCGTCTTTCGACAAGCGAAAAATTTGTATGTGTGTGTTTGTGTGTTTTGAGGGGGACTTCTTAACTTTTTATGTCTTGTTGTTTTTTTTCGTCTTAAAGGGTTTCTGCTAAGGTTTCTGCGTGTTGCTTTTTTTTCTTCAAAACTAGCTTTATTCATTTTGATAGATCTATTTTTTGACCTTTTCGATTTTATCCGACTTAGCGGCTTTCTTGTTTTGTATAGCAAGTGGCGCGAAGACCAGCTTCGCCTCTATGTAAATATTGAAACCGGGATCAAATTTTGTAGTAAAGTTCGATAATATCCACCAAAACTAGCCTCAATTTTCAAAAGCATCAAATCATAAAGCATTGTTGTCATTTACACAAAATGTCGACATCTGATAGTCCGGCTCATATGCAATTCAGAAATTAAAAATTGAGTTTTTTTCCAGACGTTTGAAGAATCACGTGATGGGATGGTTTGAGGAGAAACTGCACGAGAGATTCAAAACAGCAGGAGCTACCAAGGTCAAGAGGTCAATCCTCAAGTTCATCGAACAGGGTCAGTTCATTTTCGAGAAAAACAACGTCACAAAAACGATTGCTAAGTAAGTTTTTTGAAATATCGTTTTAGTATACAATGCGCTCAGTCAGATCTTTCAAAAACGTTAGCGCAGTTCTAATTTCGGTGATTACTTTGAAAATGAGCTCTCAGATAAATTGATATATGTTGAAAACGCTATAAAAATGAAATAGAAGGCGTTGGTTTGAAAATTCTCAATGAATGAATTGTGTTGCTTAGAATTTTCCTCGCTGCTTTTAACATAAGATTGTCTTTTGTGCTGGTCCCAGACATAATCTGAGGTTTTTGCTTATTATCTGTGTGATGATCGCTTGGATGAGCAGGCTTTTTTCACATTTTTCGCATATAATCGAAATTTTTATACATCTTAGATCTGAAAAACATACATATACCTTATTCCGTTATTGTAACGCATTGATTGCTATCTGTCTGTTGTATTGTTTATGTTTACATTTTAATCTGTTCTATCTATTTGGCGCTGTCATCATCTTCACCTTGCTTTTTCAATTCCATCTCCAATTTGGATAGATGTTTTGCCAATTTGTCAAGGTGAGCTTTTTCACTCCAGGAGTTAAAGTGTCTTTTTTGCACTTTGGTTGTCATCAATCTCTGTAGTTTATTGCAATCAAAATTTTTTTTGAAAAAAAATTATTGCACTCTAATGGTTTTTTTAATTTAAAAAATATTCGACTTGCTTTGACGTCCAGATGTTTTTTCTTGCTTGCCGATGATAACATTCAAGCACCCTGTTGGTAATTACAACTTTTCATATCAGTAACTTGATAAGAGAAATTTTCAAATCATTTTCTTGTGCAAATAAACCAAACATAAGTTAGGACCGGCATTTAAAAAAATAGCCAATCAAATTTGATTTTCTGCACTTGTTACCGGTCTTTTCTCGATCTGCTTAGATTACCCAAAGGGGTCTCCCTTTATAGTTTTTTATGACATCCATTTGCTAGCAGCCTTAAAGTTTTTCTAAAAGAGCATTTGGTGCCAATATATACTAACTGCGAGGGGAGCGCGCGCTGAAAACGCAAAAATTTGATTAAACTCTTTTTGGGCCTGCTTTTTTTAATAGCCAGCCTGCGTCGCAGAAATTTTCTCAAAATAGGATCTTAATAGGGATTTGAGAAAGCTCGAAAAACTATTTGGTCGACCCAAAAACAGGTCGACAAAATTTAATTTTTTTGAAAAATCTGCCCCCTCCCTTGAGAAAATCCTAGATCCGCTCCTGCTTGTGCCTGCATTCTTGCGTGGCATTGATGTTTACCTGTCTCCTTTCCTTTTCAGGCTACTTCCGTCACGTGATCGGGAGTGAGTTGAGTGGCATTGATGTTTACCTGTCTCCTTTCTTTTTCAGGCTACTTCCGTCACGTGATCGGGAGTGAGTTGAGTGGCATTGATGTTTACCTGTCTCCTTTCTTTTTCAGGCTACTTCCGTCACGTGATCGGGAGTGAGTTGAGTGGCATTGATGTTTACCTGTCTCCTTTCTTTTTCAGGCTACTTCCGTCACGTGATCGGGAGTGAGTTGAGTGGCATTGATGTTTACCTGTCTCCTTTCTTTTTCAGGCTACTTCCGTCACGTGATCGGGAGTGAGTTGAGTGGCATTGATGTTTACCTGTCTCCTTTCTTTTTCAGGCTACTTCCGTCACGTGATCGGGAGTGAGTTGAGTGGCATTGATGTTTACCTGTCTCCTTTCCTTTTCAGGCTACTTCCGTCACGTGATCGGGAGTGAGTTGAGTGGCATCCTGAAGTCCACTTCTTCTTCTGGAGGAGGGGCAAATCACATGGAAAGTAGTGGAAGTGACAACAGCGACGACGAAGACGACATCCCATTGGCCACCGAAAGTAAACCGAGAGCCATTTTTGCGTGTGCTAACAGCTCAACAAGATCCAAATTTATGAAAAATCTATCATAGCTCAGAATTTCAAAGTATAGAGCAGTATATCACTATCACGACAGAGGCATACTATAGATACTTTATGCACTCATCATATCGAGTCGACCGAACGTCTGGCCGATGGCTATAACAGAAAACATTCAGTATCTTGAGCTATTTAACTAATTTAATTTAAAAACGTGGCAAAATGACTGAAATTTAATCGGAAACCTATGAATATGGAGGTCATTTTCATCATTTTGACACAGCTTATGCTTGCGAAAAAGTTAAATATTTTTTTGTTGTTCAATCATAAAAAAGTCTAAAGCTTGCTATAAATGTAATCATCGTCAGCACAAATATTCGATCATTACATTTTAGAACCCCTGAAGTAATTTTGTGCCATCACGAAACTTGAATTGTGTTTCAGCCAAAGTTTCATTAAAAGTCCCCCGGAAAAACACATTACCAGTCATCATCCCAGATGTCTCCGCTCTATCCACCATTTTGGAAGCAGAAGAAGCCTCAAGTCCTGTCCAACCGCCTCCTGAGAACATTCTAGAAGAATCTCTTCATGTAAATGACGTCACAAATACTGAATCCGAATACACAGAAACTGATTTCACCGAAACGGACACTGAAAGCGCTTCATTCGCTTACATCGACACCCAAGCACCTCCCCCTGCTCAATCCAGACACAAATCCAGGAGCCTAGGTTCGAATCCGTGCAGTAACCTTTCTAAACTACCTCAAAAACCTTCAGATTCAGAGCAAGATTTTTCGTCCAAGCAGAATTCGGATTTTGAAAATGTGACCACTGGTTCAGACGGGAGTGGTTATGATTACGTCACAGGACCTGATGACGTAACAGGAAAACAGAAACGCCTGAGAAAATCGAGAGATCTGAATGCATTGCATAACTCTATCAATGCTGAAAACTCGGATTTTTCAAACATCTCAAATGGTAATCAAGGTTGGTAAATCTCGGTTTCGGTTGAAAGTAATGAAAAATTTATGAGTTATGAGAAAACTTTATGAGAAAATTTAGTGAGTTACAATTAAGAAAAAATCTCTAAAAATTTATAATTATGAATAAATTGATCTAGAATCCACCGTTTTTTAGGACAATTGAACGAGTCCGGCTTCGACGATGTTGTCCAGGCTGACACGAGTGTGAACAAGATTGACTCGAGTTATGATGAAATAAACAACCAGCAAGCTAAACGAGCTCCGAGCTCATTCTCGGATATCAACAGTTCGGACGTAGAGGTATTTAAATGTATTCGCGAGGCGACAACTCGTAGGCGAAAACTCATAATTTTTCCTACAATATAAACAATTTAAAAGAAATTCCTAATAATTAGTCAAATAGATCGTAATTAATTTAATATTTCGTATTCCGTTTGCCATTTTACTTAAGTTTTTTTGTCTTTAGCTGCGTAATTTAAGTTTTTATTAATCAAAATTTCAAAATACCTGTCAGTGTTCTTTTTTCTTTATCAAAATGAACACTTTTCCATCTAATTGAGAATCAAAAATTCAACAGGTTTTCGATGCTTTTAGATCACGTCGTTTCTGATTCGCGACTTCGTCGCTTTGTTCTGTGTAAACGACAATGATTGCTGTATAGGCAACACCATTTTTTACAAAAAAAGTCTCTAATTTAGATCATGTACACGTCGGCAGCAAATCAGCGACTGAATTCCACTGCTCCAGTTGGGGGTTCGGATTCGGAGGGGGTGGTTGTCACTCTGGACGAGAGTGTGGGTGGAGGGAGTGGGGCGGAGGCGGATCAGTCGGTGCAGGATTTGATCATTCGTAACCAGAACGTGGAAGACATGACACTCGGTTAGATCATTAGAGTTTGGCGTTGTAGCGCATCGGTAGTGATGGTGCTCAGTAATCATATGATTGCAGGTTCAAATCGCACGTGTGCTGCAATTTACAATTCTTGTAAGATAGCCATAGTTAAGTGTGATATAGTGTCCCTTCGGATGGCTGTGGACAGCTATATTGTCGTTTATTGATAATGTAGTAAGCTGTTCGAATATTAATTAGCACTACTGGCTATCAATTGTTATTGATTGTTTCCATAATTTATATGTCTCGAGCGGTTAAGACTTATCTTGCTTTTAAGGACGCAGGATTCGGTTCTTAACTTCTGGAATATCGCTAGTCGATCGGCGCAAGTTAGAGCATGATTCTTATATTTTATTCTCTTCAAGTCTACCCAATTGATTAGTAGCTCGGTATAAATCTCCAATGGTTGGTATTAATTACCATCAATATTTACATAGTTAAATAAATATAAATGTATGAACTTCATTTCATTAACAAGGTTAATTATGTAATCTAATATAGCATAAGAATGCATGACGTCATGTAGTGATGTCACACTACCTCACAAGAAGAAATCTTCCCGGGTGGTTTTCAGTTTTTGACTGTTTACAGTTAAAATAATTAAGTTTAAAATCGACAATCAGATTGACAAAATATATACTGCTACAGGAAAATGAGTAATTGAACTATCAAGTTATCACAAAAATAATTAACATTCATTGGTTTAGAAGCACAGGTTATTACTTCAATTTACATTATGTGAAAGAGAATTCAATTGAGTTTAAATGGGAAATATTTTAATGGGGATAGGAAGCCACATTGAGTCGGGTTAAGGGAGTTAAGTGATAGATGATAGGGTCAGATTAATGATATCATGATGTATTCAGTTGTCAGCTGTAGCTGAATTTGCACGGCAAGTACTGTCGCGTGGAGTAGCTGACTAGTTTTGGTCGTCGTTTCGTTTCACATTTTGGTATCGCTGTCTTCGTTCGTTCGTTGCTTGACATTCGTGTTGCTCTATCGATGCTGAGGTCGGTGTCTAAATTAAGATGAGGCTGTTAAGTTCTTCTCGTATCCTCAATAATTGCGAATGTGTTTTCAACAACTTAACAATGATTTGTTTTATTGAAATATTCACTTTGTTTTTGAAGCTTTTCAACTAGAAACGCAATTTGTACTCTGTTATACATGCTTATAATTTGATGCTTCGTCTTCTACTCGTTTTTTGTTTTGTTCCCTCAGAAGTCTTTTTGTCTTCTTCGTATGGGTGTTTTGTGCCTTTGTTGGCCTTACTCCCTGAATGAAGGTGATCGACTTTATTATTTGAAAATTACACGTTTCAACGATGTTTTTGCATTGGTCGCGATCATCGTATTTTGTGCAGTGTCTGGCTTTTCGTGTTTTCAATTCGTTTCTTCAACTGTAGCCGCACTTCACTCCTATAGGCTATTCAGGCAATTTGCTGGTTCGCCTGAGCAAAACTTGGCATCAGTTAGAATTAAAATTGATGAATTTCAGTTTTTCATCAAATTTGTTGATATTTATGATGTTCTAATTAGCTTTTCAAGTTCGCGTGTTGTTTTTAAGCATTACTTGTAACCTTTCAGGGTTGTCCTAACAATTCCGTTGGATCTTTGCTGGCACATTTGAGTGTTTTCTTTCCGCATTTCTGCAAAGATATCCCTCGAAAGTTATTTTTCTTGTTTTTCCTATACTAATACATGGGAATGTTGAGAATTGATGTATGTCACCAAATTTTGGTCTGGTAGTGGACCAACTTCGTGCCTGTTCGTCATTGGTGATTTGAAGATTAATGAGCCCAAAATTTTTGAATTTCCTTCGACTCGTTGATGGGGGACGAAAAACTTTTTTATTCGTAATGCTTAAACATGGGCGGTGAGGGTGATTTTTCGTATCTCGAGATGTACACATTTCCTCCTCCGCCGAGCTTCTGGAGCCTCCTTATTGGTGGTCCTGGGATCATTGGTAGTGAAATTTTCAAAATCCATTCAGAAGTTTGATGGGGGACGTGAGAATTTTTTATTCCCCATCTTAATACATGGCCGGAGAGGGTGATTTTTGAGATCTCGGCTTTTAAACAATTCCTCCTCCGCCGGGCTTCAGGATCCTCCTCATTGGTGCTAGAGAGCTCACTGGTGTCAAAATTTTCGAGATTCGATCACTGAGTTGTCGGGGTGCTCGAAACTTTTTTATTCGTGATCTTAATACATGGGAGGTTGAGGTGTTTTTTGATATCTCGAGTTCTATACATTTCCTCCTGCGCTGCGCTTCTGCAGGCTCCTCATTGGTGCTACAGATGTCATCGGCGGTACTAAATTAAAATTTCTTCTTCTGAAAATTTTCTGGGGTCCCAAAATTTTTTTATTCCCTATGTTAATACATGGGGATTTCGTGCGCTTTTTGAGATCTCCAGGAAGTTGACTTCTGCTAGTGAGCCGGCTTTGTGCACGTGTCCGTAGGGTGCTGCAATGATGATAACCGGTGAAATAACGCTGTTTAGACATAGACGAAGACTTTTATGTCGCCTTTTCGGAAGATATCGTAAATGATGTTGAAAACTGAATTTTCTCGTAATTTATCGAGACCACAACCTATCTTCGGAATCGCAATTTGTTTGATTCCTTGTTCGATTAGCTGCTTCCTCATGCAGCGGAGGCTGCGTGTAAAATCATAATAAGACGGTTTTTTGAAATATTGCGTTTTTGTCACTAGATTGAATATTGATTTGTTTTGAGAAGGAATGTGCACAGAAACTGAGGCCCCAACTTGTGGTGTTTCGATCGACTTCAACGTGGGCTGTAGTGGCAAATGTTTTGATTGCATGCATGAACGGTACTAGCTGATATCCGGATTTTTCGTCATAGATAAATAAAGATTTTGATGTTAGTTTTTCCGTAAATGTCGCAAATTAGGCTGAAAACTCTACTTTCTTTCAATTTATCGAGTCCACATCCAATTTTTGGCATGACTATTGCGTTTATTCCTTTCTGCAATATCTTCTGCTTGATGCAGTTGAGGCTTCTTGACAAATCGTAGTATGTTGGCTTGTCAAAGAATTGTGATTTTGTAACCAGGTTGAAAATTGACTTGTTTTCCCAAGGCAAAGACACAGCAACTGATGACCCAACTATTGGTGTTTCAATGCTTTGTAGTGTTGGCCTCATACATGGATAGGCACTGCTGATTTGTCGTGCTACTCCTTTGTTCATGTGAAAGTCACTTGAGACACAGTGCGCTATAGAGCCTAGGAACTGTAAAACATTTCTTGGTCCAACAAAGATATTTGGTTCATCGTAGATTGAGTTCACCGAATCTTTGCTGCTTCCAGGTCCGTCTTTACGTTTAGTTTTAGTCAGTTGCTTCGCTCGTTGTACACTGTCCTTTATTATATTTCTTTTCGTTTCGCGTGGAGGGAAAGATCCATTTGCCTCTTCTACCTTCTTCTTTATTTTTGATCGGTTTTCGTTTTGAGTTGATCTTGGACTGAGCGTTATTGGAGCCACTTCGTGTCCATCTACTGTTCGTAGGCTGAATTTGCGCGGTTGCAATTCGCGTGGTGGTATTGGGTGATATCTCACATCGTTGTTGAAGCGCGTTTGGCAAAATATTTTGTCTCGCGCTTCGACTGCTGCTTTGCGCTTCGTTCGTGAGGTTTCTTGGGCCATGTTTTGTCCATCGTTTTCGAGATTAACTGTAGTAGGCATTGTTACCACTGCCTCGTTCATTGGTTCGTCGTTAATTAATCCATCGTTGTATTCAAACTCAGGTGGAGCTAATGGTTCTGGATCTGGGTCCGGTGGAAGTGCTGGTGGCGGCGGTGCTGCTATTGGTAGCGGTACCAGAGGTAATGGTGCAACTATTGGCGCTGCTGCGGGTATTGGGACTGGTGCAGGGACGATTGGGGCTACTGCGGGTCCTCGAAGAGGTACTGACAGTCGGATTCGAGCAGGTGCATCGGGAAGGTTGCTTTGTCCCCCGTTCGCGGGTTGGATGTCGTCTAAGAGTTGGGGCAAAGAATCGTCGAAGAGTCCTGGTTCACTTCGATATTTACCAAGTGAGGGATCCGTTTCAAATTTGCTCGGATCAATTATTTCGAGATCTTCTGGTTGATGCTGAACAACAGGTCTGAGACGAATCCGGTGTACGCATTGGGTGTAATTGGTTCCCATTTTGCGAATGATGTAGTTTGAATTTGTCAACACTTTTTCAACTCTGTACAATGGTATCCAGACTTGCATTGATTTGCTTCCAAAAACTGATTGAGTTGTCAACAGAGGATTTAGTAATAAACAAAATGAATGCTGTTTCAGTGGCTGGGCAAGTGCTTTTTGATCGTAATATCCTCGGTATTTATGGTTAGCAGAAATTAAGTTCTTTTTCGTTTCTTTGAACTTTTCTAGCATCGCATCTTGCATTGCCGTAACAAAATCAGATTCAGCTGTTACTGTTTCAATTGCTTTCGTTGAGAAGCGGAGATCAAGTGGTTTTGTCGGTTCTCTTCCATGGAAAATTGAGCTTGGGCAGCATCAAATTGATGAAGAGTATGAAGTATTGTGGATAAATGTTGCCAATGGGACATATTTGTGCCAGACCGACCATTGTTCATTAGTGTTCAGCTTTAGGATTCGTTTAAGTGGTCCATGAGATCGTTCGACAAGACCGATAGTCTGCGGGTGTTTTAGTGTAGCATGGTTAAGTTGGATTTCGAGCAATGTCGCCAATTCGTGCATCAGTTCTGAAGTGAATGTCTTTCCAAGATCAGCTAGAATCTTCTTCGGGATATAACTATGAACAAAGAACATCTTTGTAAGTTCTCTTGCAACAGTATCGGCGCTGGCATTCGTCAATGGTGCTGCAAACAAGTATTTCGAGAATACATCGATTCCAGTGAGAACAAACTTGTAGACTGGTGACTTCATTGGTCCAACTATATCAATTTGCATCATATCGCCTGGGAAACATTGCAATGATGAAATTGGTTGTAGTGG